CTGGGAAGGTCCTGCAGTCATAGCTGCTACAGAAATAGTGGTAACAAGTGGTATACCAAATGGTAAACCATATTTTTTATTAAATGGTGTTTTAGATTGAAATTCTTGAATGGATGCATACAGAGATGTGGTTAGTTTGGTCTAAGCATTTACAAACGTATTTTTCAATTGTTTTATTTTGTAATTGATGTTATAATCTTTCTGCGCTTTATTGATGCCTTTTTGCACTTCTTCAATTTTGTCATTACAGTTTTCCGCACTTTGTTGACATTTTTTTTGCAATTTGTAAGTTTTGCTGTTATAATCCTCCGCACATCTCCAATAGCTTCTTTGTTTTTGTCTTCATCAAGTTTATTTTTGTTCTTAATTCTTCGTTAAACCTTAAGTTTCTTACTTTTAACTCCTCTCTCAAATTCCCATCACTTACCATATTTTCCTTATTAGAAGTAGCACCTTTATATTAGTCGCAAGGCTGTTTTAGTTTTTGTACATACGTAAGTCGAATCTCTATATAGGTCGCACTTCTGCGATCTTAAAAAGTTCATCCTATTGCTATATGACATGTTTGACAGGAAAACATTCGTTTACAAATGCTGGCAAACTCAAAATAGCTACACTAACTGATGTTACCACCTGGATAATGGAGTCATTGAAGGCTGTTAGTGTATCATGTATCTTGAATGTGTTCAGGAAGGCAGAAATATTTCTTTTTTGTCAGTGAAGAAATGGACTATTCTTCAGATGAAGAAGATGACTCTACCATCAACCATTGCAGAACTGTTCCATTCAGATTCAGAAAGTGAGGACTTTGATGGGTTTAATAACAGTGCCAGTGATGGGTCCATGTAATTTTTTATAAAACTTACTCTCATTTACTTTTGATTTTGGTCTTTTTGAAGTAATAGTTTAATTTCTAGTGATGATAACATGGTAACTGTAATAGTGGATATGATTTTTTATCTGTTACCTGTTTAAACATGATTGTTATGGTAATAAATATTGAATGTTATTTTGTATTTTATTTCTGTTGTGAAAACTGTGATGACTAAAGAAATTAATATGGACAATCACTGCACCATAGCAAAAGTCATAAATACGTCGCACCTGTTAATAAGTCGCACATAAACTTCTTTTGAAAAAATAGCGACTTATGCAAATGCAAATAGGGTATTTCTTAATCTTCTTTCAATTTTCTGTATATTTATTTTAGTTATTCTTTTAATGCTCTGTCTTTTTTTGCTTGTTGTTGTTTCCTCTGTTTCACTGTCTTCAGCAAAATTCGATCTCACTTCGTCCAGAAGTCGTCATGTTGAAAATGATTTCAATTCTCTTATATTTTTACAAAAATAACCTCATTTCTGATACCAGTATTCTAACAGTTTCCATTTTTAATGTGGATTCTTTTTGGTTATTGAGTAATAATTGCCGAAAGTTCAGTCCACATAAAATATCCAAAATAATTTTTCTCTCCAACAGTTATATACAAATTTTACAGGTTATGTTCGTTGATAGACCTGGTGGTTAGGGCGCTCGACTCGCAATCTGAGGGTCACGGGTTCGAATCCTCATCCCACCAAACATGCTCGCCCTTTCAGCCGTTGGGGCGTTATAATGTAATGGTCAATCCCACTATTCGTTGATATAATAGTAGCTCTAGTCTTACACTGCTAAGTTAAGGACGGCTAGCACAGATAGCCCTCGTGTAGCTTTGCGCGAAATTCAAACACTAACTAATTAATCTACTGATTGACTCGGTGACTGAATTCACTTTTTCTAACACCCTCAGTTACTAATTTATTGATTAATTCTTTCTAACTCTCAGTGATTCGAGATGTCACATCAGGCCTAGAAGTTCAGGAAACTTTTAGACGCCATGATAAAAACGTCTTCCAGCAACATAAACCTATTTTTCACTTTCTATATATTTCACATGATAAAATTTAAATTTTTTACACCTAGAACCGAGTTAAAGTATGGGTTAAAGTATGTTCTGGCTCATTATTCTGAATTTCACTGATTTGTTAACTTCTCTTGTACGAACGGCACTTTCTAGTATCGCTCATTCTTCATCGAAAACAAGCCCAACATAAAAAAAAACACTAAATGATTAGCTATCTTACAGTAACAACCTAAGATATTCGCTAACTCTACTGTCAGTAATCATCCTCTGTAGACGACCTTGTTTCTTATATGGCTCAGGTAGTTTCCTAAATTTTGAAGAAATTCCTAACTATTAAGCCATATTCATCATGCTATGTTAAATTTCTATCTCTCCAAATAGCAATACAAACCTTCAGAATAGTCTACATTGAAAACTTAGCATAAAAAAATATTTTTGATAGAACTGCATCCCAGAGCTCAGAATATTTTTTTCACACTTTTTTATTATCATAAGGTAATAATAAATGTTAAGAATATTCCTATTTTTAACTCTGTCATCCTCATTTGCCGTGAAAATGTTGTAAGTGTTTTTACAATGGTATATAACGACAATTGATGTTACACATAAGTATCTTTGTCGACAGCAGCTGATAGCATGGAGATCTTACAAATAAGTGTTTCTTTTATGATAACATTTAATGACATTGAGATGCTACATATACATATTTCTTTGCTGATAACAGCTGCTAACATGGAGATTTTACATATAAGTGTTAATTTTCTGACAGCAACTGATAACATGAAGAAGTTACATGTAAATGTTTTTGTTTTTATTACCACCAGAAGCTGATAACATGAATATACTACATATACGTGTTTTTTTTTTCCTGACAGCACTGATAACATGGAAATGTTACATACACGTGTTTATTTGCTGATAGCACTGATAACATAGAGATGTTACATATAAGTGTTTTTCTGGTGGTGGTATCTAATGACAAGGAGACGCTATATACAAGTGTTTTTTGATGAAAACATCTCATGACATGGAAATATTACACAAGGGTTTCTTAACAATTGAAATTTGAAATAGTTTGCATAATTAAATACTTTTTTATATTTCTGAAGAAAGGCTGTCATAGAGTTCGTAGGGATTCATAAATAAAGTCTGATGACTTATAAGGCTAAAAACTGAATTTCGATACTTGCAGTAGGCACAGCAAAGATAGGCCATTTTATAATTTTGGGCTTAATAACAAACAAAATTCTTCACAAAGATATGAATTAAATTTTCAAAACTGAAAAAAAGAGAGGATAACATTGAAACTATTATAGACAATACCTGCCTAGGGTTTTGAGATAGGTGATGTTTAAATCTTCAGAACAGGGACTCGTTGTCCCATACATGATTCAAAACCGTTATTTAAAAAAATAAAACTAGTTTAATTTGTTGTGTTTTTTTCACATAACTGTCTTGTGAGAAATAATTTTACTATTTTAAAAAAGATGTAAATCAAATTCAGAAGTTTGAAACTGCTTTATTCTAGATGAGAATCTTCCTTTTAATTTTATAAGAGATTGATGTTTGTTTGCTTCTTGTTTTAGCGAAACATTACACAATGGGATACCTGTGCTTTGTCAACCACGGAGAATCGAGCCCTGTGTTTATATTGTTTAAGTCCTCTGATCCAGCGGAGGACAAGCCCATCAGTGGCACAGCGGTATGTCTGCGGACTTACAAAGCGAGAAACCGGGTATTGATACTAGTGGTGGGCAGAGCACAGACAGCCCATTGTGTAGCTTTGTGCTCAATTACAAACAAACAAACCAGAAGACAAGAAATTAAAACGCCGAACAACGTGTAATGAACACGTTTGCTCTTATATCGTTCAGTGTCCCCCAATGGCACTTATAACGCTAGAAACCGAGTTTTTATAGTACAGATAACCTATTGTACAGCTTTGTGCTTAACTACAAAAAATATGTTTAAACATAAGTATATGGCAGCTTAACACTTCCAAATAGATATTTAGATTGTAATTTGTTACGTCTCTGTTCGTTTGTTAATTTCCCGTAAAAATTCTTTCCGGAGAACTTCAGCGATACACATCCTTTCTTAAATAAAACTAGTTTATTCTTTCTCAACGCAGCTTGACTCAATTATCTGTCTCTATATCTATCTAACTGCAATCATATCTCCGCTTTATTTGCCGGGCTTATATACTAAAATAGAGGGCTCCTAGAAAAGACTAGAGTTGCCAGGAAAATTCAAGATCCTTCGAGAATATGATGACGTGTTACTAGAGTCACGTGACTTCCGCTGTCGTAACAATATATATAAAATTAGTCTTAGTTAGTAAATATAACAATGAAAAATTTTCAAACACAACATGAAATATATTTTTAATATTAAAGGCAATAAACATCTAAGCAAATATTTGGTAAAAGCTTTAAATGTAATTTAATAAGACAAACACAAATATCATTATTCAATGTAATGATATGGTTTTTAATTAGCAATGAAACAAATACATGTATATGTCTTTGTTATAGCGTATTCTTGTGTAAATTCCGCTCTTTACCGAACGATGGCGACACTTATACAGGTCGATACTAGATAAGTATGATGTAACAAGAGTAGTGTGTTACCAAATGCCAACACGTGAAAAATGTGGCATTTTGGAGTTATAGTTTATTATTCCGAAAAATTATATCTCTATAATTCTTCGATTGCTAAACAAACACCTGAGCTCATCGTTATCAAATTTCTGATTATTTTTCGCCGTACAATCTGATTCACATCGTCCAATCAAAACTGTAGGCATAGCTGAGTTCGCGCAGATCATTTTTTTTCCGAAAGTTTATTTACAAAATGGAAGATCATTTTATTAAAACGGTAAAATTTATCGGAAAAAACATTGTCAAACACATGCATGCAATGCAGAACATTTACGAAAGCTTATCACATGCTCCATTTAACCCATATTGAAAACATTCCAAATATTAATATGCTCCTCCTTCATTGTTTCGACCAATCCAACTAGAATATAAAGCGACCTCAAGCGTTTCCGGTTTGACAAATTTTAAGATTGAATACATTCAGCCGTAGATGATGCAATCGGAAAGCGACAGAATATAACGGTGGATTATTAGTTTATACTTAAAGTTCTTCAAACGAAAACGTAGTTTGTGTGAATGGAAAATATATTTGATAGGATAGCTATTAAGAAACGAAATCACAATGTCTTTAAACAATATTCCAGAGAAACAACCGATGAATCCGGATGGGCAAAAAAAGGAAGGAGATTATGTTAATGGCGTTAAACTTAGAAAAGAACTTGGACTTATAAATGGAGTTGCAATTATTGTGGGGATAATTGTTGGGTCTGGAATATTTGTGTCACCTCGTGGCGTATTACAAGAAGCTGGCTCAATAGGAATGGCTCTCGTCGTGTGGATATCATGTGGCCTTATATCTATGCTTGGCGCCTTGTGTTACGCAGAGCTCGGAACAGCTATACCAAAATCAGGTGGAGATTATGCTTATATTTATGAAGCTTTTGGACCCCTACCAGCGTTTTTGTTCTTGTGGGTAGCACTTTTAATCATCATGCCAGTAGGAAATGCGATAGCTGCCTTAACTTTCGCCAATTACATCCTTGAACCTTTTTTTCCTGACTGCAACCCTCCACCCAATGGAGTGAGACTAATAGCAGCAGTTGTAATATGTAGGTAAATTGCTAATTGTAATTAATAGTAACTTAAGTAAGTCATAAAATAATACAGACGACTAATTTTATACGTGACTATAAGTATAAATATAATACTCTTATTGATCAGCATAAATTTTTATTAACTTCCGATTTGAGCAATTTAGTCTACCTAGTTATAACGAGTCAGACACTTACTCGTTGATTCAGAGCAACAAGTATCAGTTTTTGTACAACATCTAGGTGCGATGCAGGTGTAAGTAATTCACAGGCTGCGTATTTTTCCAAATTATTGTTATTTTAACTTAAGATATTTATAAAACAGTAAAACTTGACAGTGGGTGAAACTTTTTTCTTAATGGTGTAAGAAGAAAGTTGTTTTGAGCAAGTCTTAGAAATAAAACATTTTGTTTAATATCAAAATATTATTTTGCAGTATTGACATGAAATAAAAGCCATGAATATGTGTAAACTGGAATGTTCACACATAAAAACTAACCATAGAAACAAAAAATAAAAATTTGTTTACTATTGTATGTATTATAAAATTACTTTTTAATATTATATTTTTAGGTGAACAGCTTAGTACCTAGGAAACTTGCAGTCATTGACTTTAGGTGTAAAAATTAGAATATCCATGAAACTACTGATACATTTATTAGATTTTTAATAGATGAACAAAATTTGTATTTTTACTTTTAGAAAATAGTTAGTCATGATTTTTATGGGTAATTAGGCTAAACCTAAAGTAAATTACTAAGTTACTGTCATTTTAACTGTGATAATCAGGTTACTTGAAAATTTCATACCTTTGTAGCTAATTGAAATCTGTTGATTTTTGCTGCATATTTGCCAATTGTAATGAAAATGTTTTTTTTCTTTTTTTTACACTAATTTTATTACCCACTCATGTTTTTTGAAGCTAACACTTGTGGCACTAAATCCTACCTTTCTCAAAGCCAGTATTTCAGGTCTTTTCTTTTCATTATGAATCTGCTTGTAATTGATATCATTAATAAATATATAATTTATTGTAAAGAGTAAGGCTTACCAAACTTGAGTAACATCTGATTATATGTAAATTCTGGCATTTGAATCAAGAGAAACAGTTTCAAAATACGTAGAATAAGGTTAATAAACAATATTGGTTAACCTCATGTCTTCTCAGTTATCTAGTAAGTATAAGTGTGTTCAATAAAGTTTAGTAGTTTTAGTCACAAGACATTTTAGTATTAATAGAAACTTTTTTTAATTTTGATGTGCATTTTTGTATTGGATAAGCTAAACACTATGAAAGGACGAGGATTACTTAGTAATTCTAGATTCACAGCACATTTGTATTATTAACTGATTGTATTGTTAACTGCACCATTCCATAATAAGATTAATTTTCTTCAAACGCAAAGTGCAGTGATAAATATTTTCTCTTCTTGCTGTTATACAGAACCAATGTAGGGCATTTCTGTGGCTGAAATTCCTGTCAAAATTGTTGCTAGGGTAGGTTACCATCAGCAGACCCCACAAAGGTCATGGATGTATATTAATGGAGTTCTTCCTAACTAGCTAGCTGATTCTCACTCGGTTTCGATTATTTTGAATTTATGAAATGTAGAAAACAATTTTATTTTACAATGTTTGACAGTTGCAGGAGTATACCACTCTGTTATGTCATTTCTTAAGCCTACTTCAAAAAAAAAGAGAGAATGTTAAGCATTTATTTAATTTTTCTTATATCAAATTATTAAAAGTTTTTCATACAAAGTTAACCTATTACACAAGTATAGCTTGAGATTCAACTATTTAGAAACCTGAATTTTTGTGATTAATAAATTTTTTAATTGTCATACTGACCTCAATGTCGAATAAGATAAATAGGTTTATTATTGAGATTTTTATTGATACAAGCCAGAGAGCTTTAACTTTTCTAAACTTGTCTATTTCCAAAAAATTTGAAATTACTCACAAGATACATTTATTCTACCTATTACTAAAGTTGTAGGTTTTTAGTTTTATGATAGTGCCATATAAGTATAAAAAAGTAATTGCATAATGTTAATTTTTATGTACTTCTAAGAGTCTTATATGAAATTTGTATCAAACAATCAGTATTTAAATGGTGACTTAAAACATTCCATCAGTAACCAGGTGGCAAATTAAGTAACATAGTAGTCTATACCATCAGTATCATTAACCACATAAGTTCTGTCTTATTTAGAACTAATTTATCCGGCATATATAGATGTTAATAAATATAACATGTATTGTTTTATTTACTATATGTTCTTCTAATGTATTTATAGACTGTAGATTAAGTCAGTGTATGATGAATTCATTACTAGTATTAAATAATACAATTCAAAAACCAGTTTGTTAAAAAAGGAACTTTTTAATGAGCACTGAGATTGAATAATAATGCATTATTATTGAAAGTAAAGTTGAATAGGGATTTAAAGATTTTAGTAAGTATTTGTATTGTAGAAATCAGAACTAATGTTAAACTTGGATTTAAATATTTTAGTAAGTAGTTTTATTGGAGAAGTTGGAAGTAAAGTTTAGTTTATCCAATTTTTTTGTACAAAATATTTGTATGTTAACCAAATTACTGCAGATATAAGTTCTAAAAAATTGTTTAGGAATGATTTTAATGTAGTTACAGAATACAATATTGGTTATTAAAGTTTAACTTGCATTAAAAATTATACACTTGCATGTGCTAACTATCTGAAATATGCTACAAAGGCAGTTTCAATACAGAGGTGTATATCATTGTAATAGTTTACTTAATTTCCACAGTTTTTTCTTGTCTGTTTCAGTTTAAGAAATGAGAGATGGCTTGTAAGTTCATCAGGAATACTAACATAAGATTTAAGGACAATAAGGAACATGTTAGTCCACCTAGGCCATCCCATTGGCTAATCTTAACTAAATTTTAAACAAAAAATAGAATCTGAGTCATTTATATTTCAATATTTAGCAAGCCTTCCTTAAACTCCCTTAAATTTACTGCATCTACCACATCTGAAGGCAACCCATTCTAAAGACCAAACACCCTGTTAGAAGAATTAAATTGTTTTAGCTAAGTGAATGTTTTTATCAATAATGTACCAAACAAAACTTATAACAGACACCTTGATTTATGGTACATGAATTCACCATGGTTTCCATTACATTGTAACTGGATAGTATTAATTTTGAATTTATTCTTTGTTCTGTACATGAGTAAGTTTCATGCAACATATGGTTGAGAGAGTTGTTAAGTTGGTTCTGTTCTAGTTGTCTATGTCTTTTTGTTGTTCTGGAGTGGATAATACCTGCTCTACCTGAGTGGAGAGGGGAGGATATTGCTGCAATACTGCACGTTATGCAAGATTATCAATAGTTAAGTCCTTCAGTTGTCTTTCGGGTATTATCTAGAGGCTACAGTCTCTCATATGTTGGCTTGAGAATGACCAGTCGTGTGGGTAGTGCTAGTCACTGTGGTTAAATGTGATGTTTCTTACAAACTAAAAAATGTTGAATATTGAGAGAATTCAGCAACAATCTCATGTAAAGAAAAGCAAGTACACACACACACAGTGTTTGTGTTTAGTGGTAATAAAGATTTTTGCCTTTCACTTTGTGTCCAGTCATGACTCTGTAAGAAATTTAGCATTATTTTGTGAATAATAGCTTGAAGATTAACAGTTTTACCAGGATATGCTACAGACTTGTAAGAGATATGATTTAGATGTCAAAATCTAGCAAATTATCAGAAACCATGCCTTTAATTTTAAATCCAAAATGAACAAACTAAGAGGAATTTAGAGATAAAAAAACAAAAAAATATTTTCACTTTGTGTGACTTTGACTTTTGGGTTTTTGAATATTCTTGGTCAACATTAAGTTGAAATATGCTATAAAATTGGTAGAGTTTTAGCTTCACTAAAGTGTTTTTAAAGTGCAGGAGCAATGGGATAGATTTGCTTAATAATAGGAGATTCAGCATGAGTGATACTGAATCTCTGAGCTCATGAGAATGAAATATAGACTAGACACAAAATAATGTACAAACGAACAATCTTTATTATGTGTGTGTATGTGTGCCCATGCTTTCTTTTATAGATAGGGTATTGGATCAAGTAACTTCATTTCAAACTAATCAGAGTGAGGTTATCTATCGGATTGTTTAACTTCAATGTAACTTTGGTTTTCTCAGTGCAACACACGCGGTTGAACATTCTCATGCAAACATAGGGGGCTATCATAACATTCAGATACCACCTAATATACCATTGAACTACACTACTGTCTGTGTATTTGCACAATGTGCAGCATCATAAACAAGCATCATGATTTGTTCAGGTGTGACCTGAACAAAATGACAAGGAATAGAGGTAGGTAGAACAACTTTCTTGATTAGGTGTAAGATGAAAACTGCATTCTTCTGAGAAATAGTGATAAATTTGCAATAAAACTATATTATAATAAGAAGGTAGAAATTCATGGTATATTTATATACCACAACTGGACTGAGTGAAAGATTTGTAAGTGATAATTGTAATTAAAGGATTACAATTTTAAAGATTTTACACTTTTTAAGCAGAGCTACTTACCAGTTCTTTACCTGGTGTTTAGTCTTTTCTGTCTTTAAGGCCAGCAGCATTCAGTACTACTTGAAATGTATTCTGGCTAAATTTACATTCTTGTGATCATGAACACTCCAAAAATAGAAGTAATTCTTAAAACTAACTTTTACTGAGAAGACCTCTGGCACGTTTTCAATTTCCTGCTTGTGCTAGAAACGTATATCTGTTTTTCTTACTTTTTGTGCAGTGCCATTCAACTGCTCTTGTGTTTTTCTATATCGTATTTTAAAAGCCAATGATTTTTTAAAAATATATTTGAAGAGTTTCTAGAACTCGGGTTTCAAAGTTTAACGACTTTTTGTTAGTTCAAGGCTTTTCTAAAGTCCATAAAATTATTTCTTATTCAATAAAGAACACAAAGTTACAATCAAAAACGTATACTGTGAACAATAT